TCTGAATTAAAATACGTTAACTAAGGTAGGCCTAATAAGTACATTTAATTACGTTTATCGTATATGTACAACTACAATTTTCCCTCCCCGCAAATATGGAAAGTAAACCAACATATTTTACTAAATGTATTAAAACATTATTTTATTACAAGATAAAGTATAAAGTCTACGTATGTTATACAAACACAAGGATTATGCTTTGTGTTGTAATGGTATTTGTCGTTTCGTATAGAAGTGTAGTATTTGGTGAGTTGTGTTTGGTGTGCTGTATTTGCTATATGGTATGTAGGCCCTATATATATATATATATATATATATATATATATATATATATATATATATATATATATATATATATATATATATATATATATATATATATATATATCCATGGTCTCGGTCGCAAACCGTCTAACTCCCAAAACGTAAATTTTACAGGAGAGACAAAAAACTGATTATTCCATTTTAGATCGCTCTTATACAATTTTTTTAATGATATGTGGGAAGAAACTTTCTATCGACTATACTGTATAGTTTTCAAATAAGTTTTGTTATTATTCACAAAATTATAGCAGGTTTTAAAAGATAGTCGGTTTTGACGGTCTAAAACTCTAGCTGCCAAACCGTCTATCTGTGACTTGGCCGTTTTGAACCGAGAATTTTGGTCTCAGCCGCGTTCGTTCGTTTTGTCCAATGAACGTGATTTTGTTATGTTTATGCTTTTAAGTTATAATTAACACTTCATAATATTTAGATTATAGTTTTGGGCTCATATTTTAATTATTTGAGTTTATTCTACTTTATGGGTCACTTTAATTTTATTAGAGATATTTTAGTATGGCTTTATCGCTTTCGACTGTTTATTCGTTATGGCTGGTTAGTATTTAGCACTAGACTTGTTAACTGTTGAAGGTTATACTTTATTTATTGCATATTTCTATTATCACAATTTATTTTACTAAATCTGGTCGGTGCTGGTTAGTAGAATGATAATAGTAAAAATATAAACCTTATTGTCAGATATATTATGAATGAGTCATAACAAATTAATCACATTAATAATGACTTAATGTTTACAAATTGTAACAACAAAAATGTTTATTTTTTAAAATTTATTCTTTAAATAAACGTCATGTGAAGAAACATTAAAATGGCAACATATTTTTTAAATCAGGCAAAAAATCATAAAAATGTATATTTATGACACGCTTTTAGGTACTCATATATGAAAGTTTTTATATTTTTTTCTGTTCCTGCACAACTTGTCAGGGGCTACAGATGAGATCATAATCTTACGACCCTAGCTTAGCAATTGCCAGCTATGTGCTAATTCACTTTGAAGTAGATAGTAGCATCATGGTTGTACTGCAGTGCACGAATATTTGTCGCATTGAATTCTTGATAGGTCTGACTGGTCTTTTTTATAGAGGCTGGTCTCTTGTATGGTAAGACTGGTCTTTTGAGAAAGCTGGTGTCTTGTATGGTGCCTATTGTCTGTTATATAAGGCTGGTCTATTGTATGTTAGGACTGTATGTTAGGACTGGTCTGTTGAGAATGGCTGGTGTCTTGTATGGTAAGAATGGTCTGTTGAGAGTGGCTGGTCTGTTGAGAGATGCTGGTGTCTTGTAAGGTAAGACTGGTCTGTTAAGATAGGCTGGTATGTTGAGAGAGGCTGATATGTTGAGAGGCTGGTCTGTTGAAATAGGCTGATCTGTCGAATGAGGCTGGTATGTCGAGAAAGGCTGGTCTGTTGAGAGAGGCTGGTCTGTTGAGAGAGGCTGGTCTGTTGAGAGAGGCTGGTATTTCAAAAGAGGCTGGTCTGTTGAGAGAGGCTGATCTATGAAGAGAGGCTGGTCTGTTGAGAGGATCTGGTGTGTTGAGAGAGGCTTGTCTGTAGAAAAATTAATCATAAAAGCATTCACTAAAGACAACTAACCATGTCGTTGAACATGTACTTCAAACATTTTGTAACCTACCATAAAAAACATCTTAACACGTAGATAAACTCTCAATCTAAAGCTAGTAGTGAACTAAAATGATTAAATTTATTGCACAATCATGGGGAAATATTATTTGAATAATATTGTTTTGATTGATATTTAGATTCTAGAATGAAGATCTAGTTTCAAAGCATTGTGTTAGCGGCTAACAGGGGTCTCCAAACTTTTCAGCCCGAGGGCCGCATAAACTATTGATCAGTTAGGGGGCCATATTTTCTTCCAGGCATCTCTTCGGGATGATGGAGCACCCCCCCCCCCCCGCCGAAATATAATTTATATAGAAATATATACACATTTCTAATGCCCTCCCCCCTTCGGAGAAAAAAAAGTCTGAAATAAACACTGTCTGGGACCTAAAACACACTTGAGATCAAAGTTTCTTTTCAAATTGTTCTTCACGTATTTAATTCTTGAAAATTGGTGTTCACCCATGCATGTTGTTCCAAAATTTGAAAGGTACTTTGATGCAAAAGTTTTAATATTAGGAAAGTCTTCCTTGGGCAAAACATATTAAAACACACCTGCCCTTCTTTTAACTTGTCTCTAATGAGGTCATTTGATTCTGCAGTTCATTGTCTCGCCTCTGCTGCATTTGAATCGAAGTCAGAAAAACCACTACTGAAACTGCAGCTCGAGGTCTTTGATTATCTCGCTTGCAAATGACCCGGGGGACTTCAGCCATGAAGACTTTGCACTGCTGAAAGTGAGTCAAGCTGTTGGCCTGTACATGTTCCAAAAACATGACTAGTTTGAATCTGAAGGCCTGGAGGTGGGTGTATAGATCAGAAACTAGATTTCCCTCTTGTAGTTTTAGGTTCAGAAAATTAAAATTATTAGTTATGTCTGCAGCAGGGGCCAACTTCTATACCCACTCTTCATCAGACATTAAAGCCTGTGGTCTGCTTTTACTTTCCACGAAGTAACCTATTTCCTTTCTTAACTCCCAACTTTCTCGCAACTTAGCCATTTTTCTGCTGTGTAATAAGGTAAATCTTTCGATTATGTGTTTGTTTCTTTTGTAATGTCTCTGAACTATCTATGGTTGAGCCCCTGTGACCTTATTAAATTCACCATCTTTATATATATATTTATTATATATATATATATATATATATATATATATATATATATATATATATATATATATATATATATATACTTATTTAAACTGTGACTCTTTTTTTCTTGTTACTTTCTCGTATATACGAAGTATAGAGAAAGTCTTGTAATCGTGCAAAAAAAAACAAAATCGAGATTTTTACAAATCTCGACGTTTTACATCTCACTGATACGGAAAAACATAATTTTGCAATCTTGTCCGTATGTCTGTGTGTCTGTCTGTGTGTCTGTCTGTCTGTCTGTGTGTGTGTAAACACGATAACTTGAGTACCGTTACAGCTAGGTTGATGAAATTTCATATATAAGTATTTTATCAAAATCGTAGATCCGTATCAACTTTTGAGCGATTTCCGATAAGCGGAAGTGGTACTTTTCCTACTTTGAAATTTTCAAAAGCCTATAACTTGAGTACTATTTCAGATAGATAAACGAAATTTCACATGTAAGTAAAAAATCTAATTCTCTACCTTCTGTTAAATTTTGAGTCATTTCCGTTGACCGGAAGTAGTAATTTACGAGACTTCCGATTTCTCAAAAATCTAATGTAAGTTTTAAAGTACTAATAATATTGCGCACTATTATGCACTTTTTACTTTCTCGTATATACGAAGTATAGAGAAAGTCTTGTAATCGTGCAAAACAAAATCGACATTTTTACAAATCTCGACGTTTTACAACTCACTGATACGGAAAAACATAATTTTGCAATCTTGTCCGTATGTATGTGTGTCTGTGTGTCTATGTGTGTGTGTGTGTGTGTGTGTAAACACAATAACTTGAGTACCGTTGCAGCTAGGTTGATGAAATTTCATATATAAGTATTTTATCAAAATCGTAGATCCGTATCAACTTTTGAGCGATTTCCGATAAACGGAAGTGGTACTTTTTCTACTTTGAATTTTTCAAAAGCCTATAACGTGAGTACTATTTCAGATAGAAAAATGAAATTTCACATGTAAGTAAAAAAAACTAATTCTCTTCGTTCTGTCAAATTTAGCGTAATTTCCGTTGACGGGAAGTACTAATTTACGCTATTTTCGATTTCTCAAAAACGCATCTAAATTTATAAAGTACTAATAATATTGCGCACCATTATGAACATCTTTATTCGCCGTTCGCTTGGTGTGCAATACTTTTTTCTATGAGATTCTATTTTATTTTAAAAAGTTTAAGTATTTAAAATGGATTAAAAATCATAACTATATCCCGAGTTCCCATCCCCTGTTGTTTTATATAAGAATATTCGAGAAAGTTTAGGGGAGATCACTCCCAGTTTATTTATAAATCAGATTTAGTTAAAACTTAAAAGGGAATCCGAAGTAAACTTGCGCCCAAACTACAAAAAAGGTGCAAATTTTGTTGCGCACAGATAATACTCGAATGCTAAAATGTTAATAGAACGCATGAAGAAAAGGTCGACTCATTGTTGTCCTTATAGAGGAGCCCCCCTCCTCTATGATCGCAACTTTATATCTTAAAAGAATATGGGGTAGCGTTTCCAGTCGTTCAGTTGTTCCAGATTAATTTATAAAGAATCTTATTTTAAAATTATTATCAAGAAACAGCGTTAACAAGATATGAAACGGCCCCGGTCATAAACCCCCTGAATATAAACACTCTAACATGAGGGTATTTGTCCAGGGGGATTTTGTTGGTAGGTTGTTTTTAGGGGGGGTGGGGTTACGTCTAGGGGGTTCTTGTCCGCCACCTGAAACATTATGTAGTAAATTTCATTAAATGTTAGCTGATTGTTCCAGAATTCTGAGCTACAGAATATCTTTTACAGAGAAAACGTTCCTGAAATGCTGTACAAAATCAATAAAACAAATTGGCAGTTGTAGTGACGTTCAAGTAAATAATATATCATCTGTGCTCACACGATGGCGTCTATACCAATTTTACAAAATACAAACTTTGTAAACGAAGATGGACATAATGCATTACTGCTTGCATCTGAAAACGACAATGCCGTAGAAACTCTAATTAAAGGTGGAGCACACGTACGTCATATAATCAAAATAAATGGTTTCAGTAAATTAATAATCGCTTCGCAAAATGGACACGATAAGATTCTGATCACAGGTGAATCGGACGTTCTTTATGCGGATGTAAATTGGCTGAATGCTTTAACGTACGAGGCAGTAAATGGACACGACAAGGTCGAAGATATTCTAATTAAAGGCGGAGGAGACATATATGTAGGGGTAAATGGAATGAATGCTTTAAAGCTTGCAGCAGTACATGGACACGACAAGGTTGTAGATGTTTTGATTAATGGTGGGGCAGACGTCAATCACCTAAATGTAATGAGTGCATTAATGATTGCATCTCAAAATGGGAAAGACAATGTCGTAGATGTTTTAATAAAACGTGAAGCAGACGTACTTATTGTCACTGAGAATGGTTGGAGTGCATTAATGTTTGCATCTGATAATGGACTCGAGAATGTCATTGTTATTCTAATTAAAGGTGCAGCAAAGATAGACCATGTTAACGACAAAGGACAAAGTGCGTTAGTGTTAGCATCTCTAAGAGGACACGACAAGGTGGTCGATACTCTTAAACAAAATGAAGCAGACATAAATGATGCCCGTCATGATGGATGGAATGGACATTACAAGGTCGTGGACATTTTATTAAATGGTGGTGCAGACGTATTTCATGTAAACATAAATCGTCAGAGTGCATTAATGTTTGCATCATGTAATGGATACAAAAATGCCGTAGAACTTCTAAATAAATACAGAGCTGACATAACCCATGTTATAGAAAATGGATCGAATGCATCAATTGTTGCATCTCACAACGGCTACGACAAGATCGTGGTTATGCTAATTAAATCTGGAGCAGAAAAGATGCATGGCATTGAAGTTCGAATGAATGTGTTAATGTTGTCATTGCGATATAGACATCACGATGTTGTAGATTTTCTAATTGAATATGCTGCAGACGTACAGTATGTAAACACACATTTGAATGAGTCTTTAATTTTTGCATCTGAAAACGGACACGATAAGGTCGTAGATACTCTAATCAAACGCTCAGTAGGCATAATCAATGAAGATAGATGGGGGGATTCATTAATGATTGCATCTCAAAAAGGACACGATAAGGTCGTAGATATTCTAATTAAATGCGGAGCAAGTGTTCAATATAAAAACGAAGACGGATGGGATGCATTAATGGTGGCATCTCTATATGGCTATGACAAGATCGTAGATATTTTAATTACAGGGGGAGCAGAAGTATGCAATGTAAACAATGATAAATTTAGTGCATTAATGATTGCGTCTCAAAATGGACACGACAAGGTCGTAGATATTCTGATACAAAATGGAGCAAATATAAATATTTTTAATGAAGATGGTTATGATGCATTAATGATTGCATCTCAAAATGGATACGATAAGGTCGTACATATTTTATTGCAATGTGGAGGAAATATAAACTATGACAATAAAGACGGATGGAATGCATTAATGATAGCAGCTAAAAATGGACACGACAATGTCGTAGACCTTCTTATTGAAAGTGGAGCAGACATACACCATGCTCAAGGATATGGATGGCATGCATTAATGATTGCATCTAAATATGGACATGTAAATGTTGTAAATCTTTTAATTAAAGGTGGAGCTGGTATAAATAATGTGAAAGAAGATGGATGGGATGCATTAATGATTGCATCTACACTTGGACACGTCAAGATTGTAGAAAGTCTTATCAATAGTGGAGCAGATACAGGCTATGTCACAAAAGGTGGATGGAATGCATTATTGATTGCAAGTCTCAAGGGACACGATAAAGTCGTAGAAAGTCTTATTAAATGTGGAGCAGACATACACTATGTGGATCAATATGGATTTAATGCATTAATTGTGGCCTGTGATAAAGGACACGACAAAGTCGTAAATATTCTAATTAAAAGCGGAGCAGACGTTAACTACATGAAAAAAAATAAGATTAACGCGTTATTTATTGCAGCTGAAAAAGGACATGAGAAAGTCGTAGATATTCTAATACATGGTGGAGTAGATATCTTTTATGTAAACGATGAAGGGAAGAATGCATTAATGATGGCATCTGTATATGGACAAGACAAAGTCGTAGATATTCTAAGTAAATGTGGAACTGACATACATTATTTGGACAAACTTGGATGGAATGCGCTTATGCTTGCCATTAACAATGGGCACAACAAAATCGTTGATATTCTAATTAAAGGAGGTGCAGACGTAAACCACAGAAACAAAAATAATCTGGACGCGTTATTGATTGCAGATGAAAAAGGAAACGATACAATCGTAGACATTCTAATACAGAGTGGAGCTGACTTTCACAATGTCAATATAATTGGTTTGGATGCGTTAATGAGTGCATGTCAAAAGGGAAACGAGAAAACGTTAAATGTTCTTCTAAACAAGTTAGCAAACGATGTATGTATGGAAAGACACAACCGATTATTTCTCTCCACTGTGTATCTAATTGATGCATGTTTCCTTGCATTTGAAAATGAACATAAGCGTGTCATTGATATATTTTCTTCATTCAACTTTAAAATAATCGATGATGCGACGTCAACATTAATGTTCCAACATATCAATTTATTACTTAAAATAGGCAAGTATTTTATAGTATATGAATAAGTATATGTATATAATGAAATGTACTTACATATAGATTTATGTGTAACTATTTTAATAATATATGTTATTTAAAATAAGTGGTGGTGTTTGTTTTGACGCCATTTTTTGGGACGGAGTAGTCTAGCGGTAGAGAGCTGGACTGCTAACCCGTAAGTCTCGAGTTCGAATCCGGGTTCAAGTCAGTAGACCGTCCCTGAGTCCACCCAACTCTGATGGGTACCTAACTCACGTTAGGGAAAGTAAAGGCGGCTGGGCATAGTGCTGACCACACTATCTCTTCATATGCCGAGGTCAGAGAAACAAGTAAACTCTACTTCACTTGCCCCATAGACCGTCATGTTTGAAAGGGCAACTTTTAGGCAGTTTTGTCACACACTGACTGGAAATGTATACCCATCTCAACGATTACTTTTAACTTGTATAAAATTAACTGTCCCCTGTAACAAAGGCGTTGAACATGTGAAGTTTAGAATTGTTTGAGGAAAACCAACATCTTGAACAAGGCCATTTTATTATATTTTAAAAAGGCTTTACTTATAAAAACTGAATAGGCTGAAATTAATGTAATATCCCAGAAAATTAATGTGTGGATGTGTATAGATAGTTTAAAATAGAAAAATAAAATATTTTTCAAGTTGAATTAACTAATATTAAAGTTAACACATTGGATAACGATTGAATGTTTTAATACATTTTTCAAACAATATCCAGCCTTGAATCAATTTGGACTCTATGATCAAACACTACAGTTGAAAGTAGACGACATATTTGGAACAAACAGATATGGTCTTCAGAATTTAAGGAAGTAAGTAATTTTTCTATACTGCGGAATTTCTTTTTTTTACACAGAGTATATTTACCTATTACTAGTAAATAGTATCATTATGTATGTATTGGTTGACATTTTAGAGTACAAAATCAACCTCTATGATCATAGTCATCAGCATTCGTATTTATGTGGTTTATCTTTTTTTTCATGATACTGATATTAATCAAAGGTAGATTACATTTTTATAACACCCTTTTTATCACAAATATATTTTAATGACGCTTTTAATCCTATGTGATAATGTATGTGATCTGTGTGTTTGAGAAAAACACTCATGAGAAAACTAACTTACAAAAAATTAACAACAAATAGGTCATGAGAGTATTCCTAATTGAGAGTTTGAAATTTACTGCCTAAGTTTTGAACTTGAATAAATGTGTATATTTATATTAAATTTGAGCATTTACTTGTATTCTTATAAGTAGTGTTATGGTGCGAAGAATCATAATTCAGATTTTTATCAAATCTCGACGTTTAACATAAAGCGGTACTTACTCAACTGCTAGTTTCTGAAAAGCCAATAACTTGAGTACCGTTTAAGATGGACTAAATTTCACATATAAGTATTACATTGTATCCGCATGTTTCTTTCAAATTGTGAACGATTTTCACAAAACAAAAGTGGTACTTTGCCCTATCTCCGTGTAAAAAACGATATCTTGGTTACTATTTCAGTTAGTAAAAGATTTTTTCCTGAATGACTTTAAATTTTAGATTGACCACTTATAACCGGAAGTGGTATATTAAACATGTCCATCGGTGTTTACTGCACATGTTTTGAATGAATCCAAGCTTTAACCATTGTCTGCTCTCAAGTTTAGTAATCAACAGATGAGTGATTGGCTGTGGATGGTAGGGTTAGTGAGTTTGTGCTATTTGGTATAGTGGGATGTGTTATGTTGTAAGATAGTATGTGGAACAAATTGTGTGAGGTTTGTTTTGCGTTGTGTCGTGTCGTGCGGTATGGGGTGCGTTTTTATGTATTACCTCATATGTAATCCTTTAACCTTAACTCTTTTTAACATCTCATTTTGTAAAATTAATATTTATTTCACCTAAATTTAGATTATGTATAAGGACATTCTTTTTTATGCTGCAAAAATAAATTGCTCAGTTTTATACCTCGGCACATAACTGTAAACTGCTTAAGTTTGGAACTATTTATTTAATAAAAGAAAAAAATAATAATAAACTTGGGAACTTAACCAGAAAGACAATCATACCGTAATTGATCGGCGATTTAAATTCATGGCTGGTCAGTTGAATACAAATAAAAGTATTTTGATATATATGTATTTGTTATTATGTTGCTTTCACAATACTTATCACAAAACCGTCGGTGTCTTTCATTTTGCTAAAACATTCTTTTCTTTTATAGTTATCTAAAGTAAGTATTTTTATAAACAAAAGTATCTTAAACAGTAAGAAATAAAATAAACTAAGATCACATTGACATATTTCATATTTCCAGAACTTAATATCGACCTAAGATTTTTTTGCGTGTTTTGCACATATTACGTTGCAGGCATATTTGGTGCTGTACAATTCTGTTTAAAATACTTTGTTATATAACCGAAATCACAACTTTTTTTTATTCGTACATTTCAAACGTGTTAGTAATTTCAACAACCATTACAATTTATTTTCTTTATACATTGAAAATGAATAGTATATCAAATTATGCGCTTACTATTTTAAACAGTAAAACATATACAGTTATGTCTCTTTCAAAGTTTAACTAAAAGGGTATAAATAATATATATTTTATTTCACATTACAGGTCAATTAAATGTTACCTAAAAAGTGTGGTTTATGTTCAGAATAAACAGGTAGGACACATCTTTTTATCTCTTTATTTATGTGTCATGTGTGTATTACTAAATCAATGTCCAATTTTCATTATTACAACATCTAAACTAACGCCAAAGCTTTAATATCCTTGGTAAACCTTCTGTATAGCAAATTGTATTTAAAGATGGTCGTCAACAGAAAACTTGTATTTGAATGTAAAAAAAATTATATTTAAATGTGCAAGCAAATTTTTCATAATACAAAGTATATGCTCAATACTAGATGAATATAAAGCAATGATTAATATTAGCATTTAAAATATAATTAAAATGCAAGGCGACTACCGCCATGAGGTTTGAATCTAGCTGCCGTATATTATTGTGAAAGTCTACATCGTGTTTCAGTTATTGCTGCTTAACCACACACACAACGAAAAGCTTTTGCACAAAACATATCGCTGACCCGAAACACTATGATAATTACAGTTTATTTGAAGGCGGCTTGAAAGTTGAATGATATCAAAAAGATTTTGTAATACTCCATTTAGGCTACTAAAACTGTATCCAGATTTTACTTTAGTAAAAATGATGGTAATATTTAATTGAAAACTATCCTGGTGACCTGAATTAGTCTTACTACTTAATTAGAGTGTACCTGACTTTAGATTGTGCTCATCATAAATTTAAAAAAAAAACCAAGTGAATAAGCGCTTTGAATAAAAGAAATTTTTATAATAATTCGGTACGTTTTGGTTAGAGACTGGAGACATAGCATAAATAATGAAATTAATTCACTTTTTATTGAAAAATTCGGTCACGTCTTTTAAATCAGCCAACCTTGCTGATATTATCTTTTCTAAAATGAAGTTTGCAACATGGATAAAGAAAACCAAGATTTAACGCACTCATGTAAACTCGTATAGCGACTATTAACAAGCGATTTATCTTTCATTTCGATGAGTTTAATTTAATACAACAGCTAATGTAGTTGCGGGCATTTCTATTTATGTCTTCAAATGTGAGGTTTGTCTTTAACATGGATATGCTCTATTCGCATAAACAGACATTTATTTAAGTTAAACAACGGTCAGGTTCGTCTCCTATAAGGATTAATATTTCCTGTCTAAACGAATGTGCGATTGCCCTTTTGTAATTGGTTCTGTAAAATGTTTCCCTTATAAAGGGATATCCAATAAGCGGAATCGACTGCAATATCATGTATTTTTAGGTAAACTTAAATGCATGTAATAAGCTGATAAAGCCTGCACTGATACGTTATTTGCATTGGTTAATACAAAATGTGATTTTGTCCCTACGTGAAGGTTAATACGTTTTACGTAAGTTAAAATTTCCTATATTTTAGAATATAAGAATATTTTAACCTTTAATCTCATTTTAAAAAGTCTTAAAGGACGAGATATAATTGTTAGCCTTTAAATTTTGAAAACAAATTTGAACCATTCTAAATACACATTATACAATACTAATTATATTTATTGTAAAAATAATTAATTAAACTTTTTAATATCAAATGCAGTAATTATCTTTTGCTATTCAATGTTTATGATGGAAAATATAACTTAATTGGTAAGGCACTCGTCAAAAAGGTTAATGTCCATATCACTTCCATAATACCAGTGATTTTCTGTAAAATATGTTCTACCTTTTGAAGTAAATGTGCAGTTAACATTCCCATTAATTAGTTGATTTGTCTGTAACAACCTAATACTTTTCAAAATATATAATGACTATAAGTGATGAAAATTTTTAAATGTTAGACCTCCTGCGATATTAGCTAACTATAGTAAAACAATACATGTAAAGTTAAGCTTACCTAACCAGTTATGTTAGTTTTATTTTGAAGATAATCTTTCTACTAGTATTCAAATTGTTTAAACTAAAAACCTACATTAAATGTATTTTCATATTCTACGAATACTTATTTCATCAGTTTGTTTAGTTTTATATTCTTTTTTTCTAAATTTACATTTAGACATTAAGCTGCAAAGAGTTGTTGGACTTTGTTTCTGAAGTCATGTCTGAGTTTTCAAACATGAGAGACTTTGACGCTTTACATTTCTTCATGTACCAGAGATGTTTGTGGAGAATTTTCTCTACTATAAATGAGGAAGATCGACATACGTTTTCCTCTTCACTTTTACAACTCAACTATGCTGGTAATTTACATTTACAACTTATATTTTAAGTTAAGAGACATGTTAGAGTTATACGTTATTAATTGTTTACGTTTTCTTGTTGTAGTTTATAGTTAAACTTACTGCTGAAACTTTGAAAGCCGAATCTAATTGGCTGTCACAGCAACATTATGTACGTTTCGAGCATAATGCTACTTGTATGTTGAGTCACTGTTGTTACTGTTACATTGAGTTTCTGACTAGATTGCTACTCGTACATTAAGACTATGTTGCTACTAGTATGTTGAGTAACTGACTTTGTTGTTACTGTTACGTTGAGTCTCTGACTAGATTGCCACTCGTATGTTGAGTCACTGACTGTGTTGCCACTCGTATGTTGAGTCACTGACTGTGTTGCCACTCGTATGTTGAGTCACTGACTGTGTTGCCACTCGTATGTTGAGTCACTGACTGTGTTGCTACTCGTATGTTGAGTCACTGACTGTGTTGCCACTCGTATGTTGAGTCACTGACTGTGTTGCTACTCGTATGTTGAGTCACTGACTGTGTTGCCACTCGTATGTTGAGTCACTGACTGTGTTGCCACTCGTATGTTGAGTCACTGACTGTGTTGCTACTCGTATGTTGAGTCACTGACTGTGTTGCCACTCGTATGTTGAGTCACTGACTGTGTTGCCACTCGTATGTTGAGTCACTGACTGTGTTGCCACTCGTATGTTGAGTCACTGACTGTGTTGCCACTCGTATGTTGAGTCACTGACTGTGTTGCTACTCGTATGTTGAGTCACTGACTGTGTTGCCACTCGTATGTTGAGTCACTGACTGTGTTGCTACTCGTATGTTGAGTCACTGACTGTGTTGCCACTCGTATGTTGAGTCACTGACTGTGTTGCCACTCGTATGTTGAGTCACTGACTGTGTTGCTACTCGTATGTTGAGTCACTGACTGTGTTGCCACTCGTATGTTGAGTCACTGACTGTGTTGCCACTCGTATGTTGAGTCACTGACTGTGTTGCCACTCGTATGTTAAGTCACTGACTGTGTTGCTATCTCTGGTTTAGTTGATACCCTTTGAGGACACCGGTGTAAAGAAGATGTTATCAAAAGTATCTGAACCGACCGCTTAATTTTTTTTTATAGACAGGACAATCACCTTGCATTGTTTAGCGGTCAGATAATTGTTCTGTCGTTAGAAATATAGCGATTCTTAAACTAGCCGGTAATTATTCACTTGCACTATTCATCTACCTATCCCATAAATCATTGGTCAAATCATTTTAAAGTAATAAAATATATCCATTACTGTGGCCACGATTTTACTTGTAGAAATTTGCGTCTAAAGAAGTAAAATACTAAAATACGTTTTTGTAATATATACTCTTTCATTTAGTTTTCTCTTGAATGGCGCTGGCTACTAATTGCTATTACATGCAACAGAAATGTTACATTTACGATGTTATATTTTGTTCGCATAGTTGTTATTTTTGCTTGTTGCCTCCATGTGTGCACTTAATTTCCCAATTAAAAATCTTGTTTATTGGCGCTAACATACATCTAGTCCTAGTTTAATTAAGATCATGTAGGTCGCCTGTACAAAATAATAAACCATATTCTAAAACGAAATTATGTGATAGTAAATAACTTTCGTTTCGAGGATTACACAGAACGACTGAAGCTTGCAAGTAAAATTAATGAGGGAGTGATCTCCCCTAAATTTTCAGGTATTTTACACTTTTACTTCGTCGTGTACGAAGTATACGTTTTACACAACCCGGAGTCTGTCTATATTATAACTTGAGTACCTTTTCAGTTATGTTGACAAAATTTCATATATAGGTACTATATAAAATGTGTCGTTTGTGCCTACTTTTGGGCGATTTCAGGTAAACGGAAATGGTACTTAAAATCAGCTTTCGATTTTTGAAAAGCTTATATCGTCAGTACCGTTTGTAAAAGATAGACGAAATTTCAGATGTGGGTAATGGATTCTATTCCAACGTAAAATCTAAAAATAACTTGAGTTACGTTTTAGTTACGTTGTCGAAATTTTAATCCCAGGAATAAGATCAATTTCAGGTGAGCGAAAGTATTACTTTACGCTATGTCCGATTTCTAAAAAAAATAGAATAGGCCTACTTTAAACGGACCGAATTCTTTAAATCTTTTCACGTAAGGCACTACGACGAAATCGCACCGTGACATAACATTTGACTTAATTAGATGTTTGATATATTTAATTTTTTTTTTAATAAAAATAGTTTCTTTCGTTATGCAAAACATTGTTACGTTCATATAGTGCGCAGTTACTTTATCTTCTCAATTCTGTCTTACGTCGATTCAGTGCGCAATTCTTTTTCAGCTCTCTATTTAAAATAAAGCGGGAGTGATCTACCCTAATTTTCTAGATAACACTACGGGTGATGACAACTCGGGATATAGTTGTGACTTTTAATCCATTTTTAAATACTCTAGCTTTTCAAAATAGAATTCAATCTTGTGGAAAAAATAATTGCCTACCAAATGAACTCAAAAAATAATATAATAGTGCTGATCAGAAGTACTTTGTAAATTCATGTGCATTTTTTGAGAAATCATAAATAGCGTATAGTACTATTTCTGGTCACCGGAAATTACTCAACATTTGACAGAAAACAACAGAGAATTAAATATTTCACGTACATGTGAAATTCCAACTATGTATAGGAAACAGTAATCAAGTCTTCTGAAAAACGGCAATTCTAATTAATTCTACATACGGTAACCATAAAGTCGATACGAAATGAAAAGTTGAATGTAATAATTATATATAGAAATTCATCGACCTAGCTCTAACGGTATTCAATGTACCTCGTTCACAAACACGCACACTCACACACACCACGCATACATATATTTATATGTACATATATATATATATATATATATATATATATATATATATATATATATATATATATATATATATATACATATATATATAAATATATATTTATATATATATATATATATATATATATATATATATATATATATATATATACTCATTTGTATATATATATATATATATATATATATATATATATATATATATATATATACTCATTTGTCTCGCTGTATGCTATGTATTACATTGTACTTTGATGTTAAGATCATTGTGTTCTCATTGATAGATTTGCTACGCAATATACTATTTGGATAATAGAAGAGATATGTATCAAACAAAATATCCGTACTTTTGAAATTCTCATGAAATAAACAGTTATTTCTAGAAATTAGGTATTAAATAGCATAAATCGGAAACCTACGCCAACTCACAGAGTATGTCACCATGAGCGACACTACGAACCAAACTCCATACATCCCCGATCTACGTCGCCACACACGAATAATGCCTACACTTTAAAATGAAAGATAACATCGCACGCATCACACCGAAAAATCACTCTACGCTACTGAGACAGTTAAACTAACATTCCTCAACCCACAAACGTCACACGCTCAAACACAGAGTAGACCAAACCCCACACCAACACGCTGAAAACTTTAAAATGTGCCTGTATATTTATACGTACATTTTACAGCTTGATGCAAATCTGTTTAAAAAACCGTAACATGGTTGCAATGCGATTGCCAGTGCGAAAATTAATTCAACCCCCCCAGAAAACTTCTCGGGAGTATTCATCAACTCCCTAAAGTTTTATGGCACTCAGATAAACGGTGTCGAACCACATTCGACTCTCATTTTTCAATATACCGTATATTGTGAAAAATCGCACCCTGCCGGGGCGCCGCCCTTGCAAGAATAAAAGAAAAGATTTTTGTTACAGAAACCTCACCTGGAGTATTCTAATCAACTTCACAACTTTTGATGGCGATCGAATAAACGTTGTGAAGCCGCAATCGACTTTTATTTTTATGTACCGTATATATAGAAAAAAAATCGCACCCACCCGGGGCATCAGACCTGCGAATTTGAAATTATTTTTTTTCCGCAGACCCCCCCCCCCCCCCCCCCACCCCCCCGAGTATTCCCAACAACTTCCCAAAGTTTCATGTTGATCGGATAAACGGTGTAGTTTTAATTCAAGGTTTAAATTATCGAAACTAAGAGACAAATTATAAAGAAATTAAGCAATTTTTAAAACTTCATCGTTACAGATATAACGTTGAGATGCTTAAAAGATGAAAATCTTCTTGATACAACAGCACCAGGTTTTTCCTTATCTTTAATTCGTGATATGCTGAGTCTTTTGATAAATGGTAGTCATCAAAGTACTGAGTTTGCTTTGGTAATTATTACACGTTCATCTTTCTTATTGGTATTTAAAAAATATTTAGAGCTACACAGCTTAAAAAATTACATTATGTATCTATTTCTTTATTTTATTCAACTTGTACCTGTAGCGTTTGGCCGAGAAGGATGTTGTAAAATTGTTTACAGATTTCCTCATCTCTCACAATAACTTACAGGTAAAATGTTTTTAGTTTTCTCTTTTAATTGAAGTGATATCATTTGGTATTATTACACACTTATTGATTAAAAAAAAATATTTGTGTATTGTTATATCATGAACGTTTTCGTTAGCCTTATTAACATTCCTACAACTTCCACACATCCACATGTGAACCATATTTGAAACACATCTGCAACCCTCGCTTCAAAGTTGGATTCCAATTATGCCAAGTTTTCCGTGAATAGGAATTCGTTGTGACAAATTGTATTTGAAAGGTATTAGCCTGTCACTTAGTTGAACTTTGCGATTACGGCCGGTGTCCTGATTATGCCTAACATTATTCTAAACTCTTCGTATAATTCTCTGACAACAATGTAATCTGCTAATCGGCTTCTTTCAGCACTGGACTAAATCAGGATCTGCTGACTTGATGTAATACTAAGTCAAAATCTCTATAAACTACTAGCTCTGATGACAAAAAATAAAATAAATGTCAATATTTAAATTACAGAACTCCCAATCTCAATGTATCATTAGTCAAGTTGTTCCCATTTTACATAACATTGCCAGAAGGAAGGGAGCAAAGAAATTTTTCTCAGTAAACAACACATACGATGTAAGTAAATGGTACAACACGCTAATGTTATTTAATTGTATAACTTTAAGTAAATTGCATTTTGTTTTTAATGTATATTGTTCATAAAATGCCATGCAATTGAACACACTCTAAAGTACTCAGTATACAGTATAGTAGCAAAAGTTTTACTGTATTATCAAACATCTGCAGCTTCAAAACATATGGTTAAGTATATAAGCAATAGCTTGAAAACTTTAGTAAAAATGTTCTATACATATAAAAATGAAAGATAATTTGTATGTGTTTGTGAGTGTAGCATTGTCGTGTATGAATTTGCACGTTTTTCATCACACTGCCATGAAAATTTAAGAAGTTGATTAGTCTATTTTGGGCTGTTTTCTGCAAAAATCACATTTAATGTTGAAGGGGTTTTGTCACGGCATGATGCGAATTGGCGCTGAGAGTTCCACTACGGCAATTTTCAGACATGGAATCCAGTGACTGTTTAACCTGTGGTCGTGTGCTCCGACCTATCCCATGAGCAAAAGACGTCTATTTTTGTTTTTAATAACGCCATACACAATGGCTACTGTGGGCTACTATAATCGTTGACTAAATAGAGCAGGAGCGTCTGCTGGAGTCCCGTCTGTAATGACCTTGACCACTCCGGCCGTTATCATGAAGATATGACAACTACGTTATTCGTTATGTTTAGCGCCAAAAACGTAATAAACGGTGGACTAGTATAATCATTGACTAAAATTGGGGCTTCAACAGTAGAGCACGTATGGACACTTGGAGTTTCCCAACGTCCATCGAGCACACGGAGTCGGTATATTAGGAATTTTTTCATTCTTCTTGTTTGTTATTGTTTTAAATACTTGCAGGATGACATTTAGGCCAGCCAGCTCTCAGATTAGAATCCTCAGATTCGTGTTAGGGACGTAAATACATCTAAGTCTAAGTAAATAACTCTCATCACTCATACTATTTTGCTACCTTACCAAACAAGGGCACGTCACTTCACACTTTCAATCAACCAGTGTATCTTTTGTGTTCATTTTTTAAAATTAATGGTTGCATAACCTTTAACTTCACGTTACATTTGAAAGTACTGCTTTTTTAAATACTAGAGTAGACTAAGTTTATCATTGCAAGTTAACATCTCTTCTCAGAATCTAATTGATGTTAATGTTTAATAGGTTATTAAAAACATGGAGTTTAAAGAAAAATTCACATCAATGACTGCAACACTTCTGCTATTGCTTATAGAAGACGATTCTGCCACAGACACGGAGGCAATAAGTAATGACTTAAACTGTTTTGTGTAACTTGTTAAATTCTAATTGTGTCACTAAATATCATTGGCTTGAATTAGTTAAATATGGTGTTAAAAATAGGCTCATGATATTCTCAGAACACATATCTGCCTAGCAGTTTATATTCTTATTATCCTTAAACTAAACATTAAAAAATAAGTAATAACATATTTGTATAAGTTAAGTTTTTGACTTCAACTTGAAGCGGTACCTTATTAATCACATTCATTTTTCACAGGTATAATGTACTAATTTAGGAAATAAATAAGAATATATAAAAGTCAGTAAATATGTATAGACCAATGAATTACAATTTTTGAATTCAATAGTTAACCATCATGTGTACAAATAAAGTTTAGATTTAAATTGATAAAAATTAAATAAGTAAAGGCTTAGAAGAAACTCAACAATGACATAAAGTACTATAATTTCAAAATGTTGTCATACTTTAACCATTGAAACTAACAAGATCGTGTATGGTTTAATAATCTTTATGTAGTAATTTTTCTATGACTATTTCCTATAATTTTATATGCATTTGCAGTCTGTGTGATATCTTTATATACTAGTTAAAAATTAATAATGATTTTTTATTTTTACATTGTAATTAATATTATAAAAGTATTTAAGCTTTAAACTATGTCAAATTTTATGTCACATTGACAATGAGACTTGACCTACATGTTAAGTGTAAAACAAACTGAGGGCTAGATTTTATTTGCGATCTCCCAATAGTAACGAATGGATAAGCATGCGAAAAGCAAAAGTATATATTAATTTAATGAACTGTTTGCAATAACTGAATAGTTATTAATCGGCGTTTTAATTAATATAAATAAGCTATGCATACTCTTTAAGAACGTGTCTCAATACCAATTTTTCAAAACAATTTCTTTTTGTTTGTGTATCCATTAATTATGTTACAACAGGGAAATCAAAACGTCGTCTTAAAGAATATGTATTGCAAGATGTTACAAAAAAAGGAGAGGAGCAAAAAATTTATTCACGATCCGAGCTGCTTCAAGGGCTGGCTAAAATCTTAGAACAAAATGACGATGAGTTGAATGAGGTAATCATAATTGTTTATTTCTACTTTGAGCTAAGGCTCATTTAGGAAGACATTTTATGTTTGTTATAAAATTTGCTCACCTATCGGTTGATGAATTTTAAAGATATTATCGTTTTCCTCATGTTTTGATGACAAATGTATCTGTGCAGATGCTACCACGGGTTTCAAACCTAAAAGAAATACTAACACACGATGATCGTGACGAGCAAATATTTACTACACAATGTTTGAGAGAACTAAGTAGGAATCGAGAAGCAAGTCTCCAAATTATTACAGACGATGAATTAAATGCAACGTTAGCAAAATTAGTGATCTGCAATGATGGGGATCTATCAGCTAACGTCCATTCAATATTCTGGAGAGCTGGTCGAACAACTGGTATCTTACCTACAAAAACAGGTTAACATTTTAATCTGAATATACGTGTTGATTTTAGCCTTTACAAGTATGCATATTACAATAAGCTTACAAGTAAAACTGTTAAACAAATACATGGACTTCTAATATATATTTTTTTTCTACTTTCTCGTGTGCAGAGTATAGAGTGTGTATTATAATCTGCACAAAGTCACAGGACATTTCAAGTTTTTACCGATTAACACATCATCATAGTCGGAGTATAGGGGACTTATTTTAAGCGGGCGAAAATTCTAAATCCAGATGTATAAAATATTCACGTTTTACGCGTCATCGAGTCGGAAAAAAATTAATTTTGCAATCTTGTCTGTTTGTCTGTGTCAACGTGAGTCTGTGAACACGATAATTTGATTGCCGTTACAGCTAGGTTGATGAAAATTAATATATAAATATTATATCAAAATTGGAGTTATGTATTATATATTCAGCAATTTCCGATACCGGAAGAAAAACCTATTCTACTTTTGGTTTTTCAAAAGCCTATAACGTGAGCACTGTTTCTTATAGTTAGACGAATGTCACATATAAGTATAATATCTAATTATCTGTTTTCTGTCAAATTTTAAGTAATGTCCTGTGGTACGTAACGCTATTTCCTATTTCTAAAAACGCTATTTTCGCTATTCACTATGTGCGTAATTAATTTTTCTACAAGATGATTATATTCTATTTTAAAAATTTTAATATAAAAAACTTGATTATTTGTCCATATCCCGAGTTCCCATCCCCGTAGTATAAAATAAGAATATTCGAAAAAGTTTACGGGAGATCTTAATTAGTTATTAATTACTTTTAGATGTTTTTTCTGATGAGTTCCCGAAGCAATTTGAAATTAAAGAAACCTCACTTGCGGTAGGAGGCTTTGGTAGCGTCCATCTTGTTGTGGATAGAGAACGACCGCAAGAAGAAAGATTTGTTGCTAAGAAAACGTATGCAGACCCAAAGAATCAAAAGAAGTGGATGGTAAGTGCAGGCATGTTTTTACATGTTCGACCCTCGATAAGTAAAACGTAATTTGTTTAACAATAATGAAGATACACCGCGTTAATATCTGTAAGATATTTGATTAGAATCTCTACAGATTTATCGTTTCCACGTTTTGAGGCGATCCGTAATGCATCATAGCCACGTGTATCTATGCGATTGATGTCTGCCCCACTTTTCAGCAGAATATTTACGATTTTGTCATGTCCATTTTGAGAAGCCAACATTAAAGCATCCATTCCATTATGTTCTGCATTGTGGATTCCGGGACGAGAATGTAGAAGAAGTTTCACCACTTTATAATGGCCATTTTGTGAAGCAATCATCAATGCATTTCCCATATTTAGTGTGGCGACTATTAATGGATCATCCGCATTATTTTGGCGTTGTCTTATTTGGGCACCACTTTTAAGTAGAATATCCACTACTTTATGATGCCCATATTTACAGGCTAATTGCAACTAGTCACTTCCTTGTAGGTGGATATAATTTACGTTCGCTTCATTTTGTATTAAATTTTGGACAACATATTCATGTCCATTTTGACTTGCAATTATTAATGCCGAAGCTAATTTGTGTTCAATTTCATTTATTTGTTCCTTATTTCTAAGAACTACATGCACCACTTGATCCTGTCCACACTGAGAGGCTAAATACAATGCGTTCACCGCTTCTTCCCCCTTATGGTTTATATCAGCTTTATTCCTTAGTATAAGATCTACTACTTTATCGTTTCCATTTTGTGCGACGAACATTAATGCATTCCATCTATTTTGTTGCGTTCTGTTTATTTCTGCTCCATGCTTAAGTAAAATATCTACGACGTTTTCATGGCCTACCTCAGAAGCAATCATTAGGGCATCGCTTCCGTCTATAAGTATTCGGTTTATATCTGCTCCACTTTTAAGTAGAAGATCAACTACTGTGGAATGTCCATTTAAAGATGCATACATTAATGCATCCCGTCCAAGGTGGTCGATATGGTAAATGTCAACGTGACATTTTAGCAGACACTCTACTACATTACTGTGACCATTTTGAGAGGCGATCATTACAGCATCAACTCCATTAATATGACTTTGTCTAATTTGTGCTCCACTTTCAAGTAGCATACCTACTATTTTATCATATCCGTATTTCGAAGCAACCACCAAAGCATCCCATCCATTTTTATCAACTCTGTTCACATCTGCTCCATTTAAAGTAGATTACTTACAATGGCATCATGTCCGTTATCAGATGCAATCATTATTGCATCCCAGCCGTCTAAATTAATTGGATTAATGTCCGCTTTATTTTCAAATAAAATATTTAACACTTTATTGTGACCACATTGTGACGCAAACATCAATGCGGTCCATCCATATTCACTTTCTTGATTTATTTCCGATCCATTTTAAGTAGAATTTTAACCACTTTATCGTAGCCATTCTGTGAGGCCAACATTAAAGCACTCCATCCATGTTGATCCTCGTGATTTGCGCTTGCTCCTTGTTTAATTAGAATTTCTACCACTTTATCGTGTCCAGCTTCAGACGCTGTCATTAAGGCATAATTTAACTTCATAGTGCTTTGGTTTTTGTTTTCGTTATATTCTGGTCGACTGCCGACATCTGTCTCATGGCCATAGTGTGCGGAAGATGTAATATTATTTGTTCCATATTTATTAAAACTATTTCCGTCTCTATCATTTCTAAGTAGAATATCTACTACTTCATAATGACCAGCATGCGAAGCAATCGTTAGTGCATCTATTCCGTAATTATTGATTCTGTACAAATCTGCTTTGCTTTCGAGTAGAATATTTACAACATTTTGATTTCCATTTTGTGAGGCATACATCAAAGCATCCCACCCTTCGTTGTCGATGTGACTAATATCAGATCCATTTTGTAGTAAGAGCGCTACTACTTTGTCTTGTCCATTTTGTGATGCAATCATTAATGCATCCCACCCATTTTGCTCAACTATGAAAATATCCGCTCCATTTTTCAGCAAAACATCAACGACTTGTGTATGTCCATTCAGAGAGGCCAGCATTAGTGCATTGACCCCCTCTTGTTCGACGTAATTTACATCAGCTCCAATTTTTAGTAAGAGCTCTACCACTTTATCATGTCCATTTTGTGAGGCCAGCATCATAGCATTAATTCCTTCTTGTTCAATGTGATGTATGTTTGCTCCATATTTTAATAGCATCTCTACTATTGTGTCATGCCCGTGTTGTGCAGCAATCATTAAAGCAGTGATTCCGTTTTCATTCGTTTTGTTTACATGAATGTTAATTTCGTTTTTAGTGGTAGTTCTACAATTGTATCTTGTCCATTTTCAGAAGCTTTTATTAAGGCTTCCCAAACATTTCCCTCAATTTTGTTTATTTCTGTGCATTTTAATTCAGATACCATCATTGGCACACTAAATTATATTATAAAAACTGCTCTTTTAAAAGTAACTCACATATATTGTCCTATACAATCTAGTAAAATATTCTTAATGTGTTTGCATAAATGTACTGTTTTGCTGATGAAACTTCTTTTACTAAATCAATATGTTTATTGTTTCGTTTACATGAAAATAAAAGTAGATACGCTGATTAATCAATCAAAGAGTCAAAATACAATTGTACGACATTGCTAAGCTAAAATATGCGTACAGTTATTAAATACAACCAAACTACTTAATTTTAAATATTAATATTTTATAAAGCTGACATTACTATGTTCAATGTGGAATAGTAAGTGCAGTCGTTTAAGGCATCTACATCTTTTCCAGTCTAGCCCAAGACATTTGGGGCATATAATGATTAGCATACATCCGGCAACCTTTACTTGATGGTTGACTATGGGACGTCCTACAGACACGATCCTGGGATCCGTAGTTTCGACCACACTCGTACGCCGGGGTCAATAAACATATGAACTCTACTCCATCTGCTTCATATGTTTTGGCAACAAACGGGAAAAGTTTATGTCGATGTAGTGTTTAAATCGACAGTACAATTAACGAAAATGTAACTCACCAACGCAGTGAATTGAGGAGATTTGCGATGAAATGACAATAAACTGTTGCTTAATAAATAATATTATTTATTGAATTAGTCAATCATATTTCACGTTATTTCAAGCCAGATACAGGAGACCACTAGTCCCTAATCTGCATGCAATCTAAAGCAACCATTTACGTCCGTAGTTATATGTATAAAACTTTTATATTTGACTAGCGTACCCGCCCCCCGCGCGTTGCCTCGGGGATAGAAGAAAGTCTGACGAAATATATTAGAAGGATATCACCAATGCAGTACCAATCATATGTTCTTAGACGCGTGTCCTTCTTTTCTAAAACTGTGTTCTTTAAATGTAAACAATGCCTGCGCTTGGATAATAATTATAGGGACACGGGTTTTCCTACACTAACGCATGAAAACCTTGAGTGTACATTAATCACTTACCGAAATAATGAGGTAGAACACACTTCGGTGACCACACATGTGTCAGGGACGTAGAGGGGCGCTCTTCCCGATTACACTACCGCATAGGCGCAGCGTAAGGCCCCTGGCTCCTTAAAACTAACAGGCGCCATCGTGCTCATAGGATAACCCAGCGTGCCAATAGCATCCTGTAAACAATGATGCAGATTTCGTCATTCGCTAAAGTGACACAAAAGAACAGGATTTTTTTCTTTAACACGTAAAAAAATTATTTGACGTGCTTTAAACATCAGTGTGACTGATGCAATATGCTAGCGTTACTAATGGTCTATTATTAGGTGCTCGATCTCAATTTCTGACTGGATATATATATATATATATATATATAAATATATATATATATATATATATATATATATATATATATATATATATATATATATATATATATATATATATATATATATATATATATATATATATATATATATATATATATGTGTGTGTGTGTGTGTGTGTGTTTGTGTGTGTGTGTTTGCGTGTATGTGTGAGGTCAATTGGGGTAGTTATAAGCCCACCGCCCACCCATACATTTGCTCCTGATATGCCCAATCTGTGTTGGGTTATGAACGGGAGAAGATCCCGAAACAGTTACTTATCCTTTTTTTACTGTTAGATTGGACACACGCTTTTAGGAATTTTATAGATGATGTTTATTTCTGAAACGTCTAAGCAAAAAAAGAAAATATAACATGTATTCTAAAAACAATGTGTGTCGTACACATGTATTTCACTTTTCAGGAAACGAGCAAGCAAGAAGCAAGAATTCTTTTAAAGACAAAACATAAAAGGATAGTTCAATTTCACGGTTTTCAAATTAAAGATGATGAACTTTTTATCTTCATGGAGTACCTTAAACATGTAACTTACTTGTTAATAACTTTAAATGTATTATTTCCCTTAGTAGTTTCATGTTTTTATTATTATTAACTATTAAACTTGTATCTAGGGTACTCTTACGTCATTCATATCGAAACGAGGAAGTTTAAATGAGACATTGACACGTCATTTCACCATTCAAATTTTGGAAGGTGTGGAATACCTGCATCATAACAATATTTTACATAGAGACATAAAAGGTAGGCGTTCAAATTACTGATTATCATTAATAATCCACCAACGAAAATCGCACTATTTTTAATACATTTCAAAATAGTAGTATAAGCATGTTATTAATTAACTTTTCATTACACCTGGTTCGATGTAAATATGTTACCTGGTGTAAACTAATTTAACATTGGTTTCTTATATTCTATATCCCATAGGTAACAACATTCTAATGCACGACGACTGGAATATTAAGATAACTGACTTCGGGCTCTCTGAAATTGTTGATGAAAATGGAATAAAAGCAGACACTGGAACAATACGATACATGGCACCCGAATTGATCAACACAGCCGGAAAGATTTTAAAATATACCAGCCGAGCAGATATTTGGTAGCTGACAGTATAATATTATTTAGTTTTCAAATAATTATCATAAAACCTTTATTAAAATATTTGAAATACCTTAAATTGTGTTAAAACGTATATAGAAGGAACATTGTTTTCAAATGTTTTCGGTCATTTTTTCCTCGGCATGCAACTCGTAGGAATGCAACCCCTCCAGCTTCACTCTCTACTAAGCTCCCAGGACAGAGACTCTATTGATGGCTATCTCATTCCAATTTAGTTATTTTTTAAATAGTATATATAGGACAACATTATTAAAAAAAGTGAATTAGCAGTTTATTTTATCACTGAATCAGCGTCAAACTTTAAGTAGAAACTCAATCACCTTGGCCTAGTTACAGACCAAATGCAAAAACGTCTTTACTAACCATGAATTTAGCTTATTCAATTTAAATAACGTATGTACAACGCCTGTAAATGTCCACTAACATAGATTAAAAAGAAAATGCAATGTTTATTGATTGTATCTGTTTTATTAATCATTCAGCATATAAGCGCGTGGGTTCAGTACTAAAATGCCTAAAATACTTTTTACTTTGCTAACACTATGCATTTATAGAAGACAAAACATTTAAATGAAGATGTTTAACAACCTAATCATTAACATGAATAATTTTGATTCTATTGAGTATTGTATTTTCTTTACAGGAGTGTAGGCTGCACTGTTGTAGAAATGTTGACGGGCAAACCACCAAACAATTCTTTGCTTGATGTACAGATTGCGTTCAGAATAAAGAACGGAGATCCTCTACTATTCCAACTTCCTGCATCATCTTCAGATCTTTTAAAAGCATTTTTGGACAGGATTTTTCAACAAGAAGCTAGACTGAGACCGACAGCCTATTGGCTGCTACACAACGATCCTTTTATTGTTGTAGAAAATACATGTGCTGTTGAAATGGTTACATAAATTTATTTTACATTTCTAACATCAATTAAATGCGCTGGAGTAGGATGCTAGAGATCGTGGTTTTATTTTTTGATATTGCTTTGTTGTTTGTGCTTCACAATGATATACTGAAGTGGTATTTTATTTTATTTCTAGTTTCTATAAATGCTAAAATACTAAATATCTTGAGTACTGTTTAAGCTATCTGGCAACATTTCATACATAGATGTGTCATCCTTTTTTCTGGTTTGTGAGTGATTCCTAATCCATGTCAGCAATATGATGGAAGGATTCTCGTCAACTCGGTCGCCTCCGTTAAATATATATATATATATATGTATATATATATATATATATATATATATATATATATATATATATATATATATATATAATGTATACGAACTGTATTCTTGTTAAATGAAGCTATAGTATTTCTTAAATAGCTTTTTCCTTCAGAATTGTTTGCATAATAAAGAAGTATATTGTTCAGTATTATTATGCCATTCATGCCCAACACAACGGACGTAAAATAAAGAAAAACATTGATTGTTTGTATAGTGTGAATGTAGTGACGATTAGATCGATTACAATTTTTTTTCCCAATTTCCATTTTGATCGGATTGACTGCTCTTTTAATTACAAACTTTGAATTCTATAGACGTATAAGTAATTCGTTATTCTATTTTACAAAAAAAAATCAATTTCTCATAATTGCAATTATTAATTATGACCACGAACTGGATCATTAATAAACAACGCATGTAGTTAACTTACGAGTAACTGTATATAAGAAATACCAAAGTACATGCAGATTTAACATAAAAATGTATTGTCTGTAAAAATTAATAATATGGATAATAACTGATTTTTTTCTAAAATTTACTTTTATCAATAGCTGAATTCATGCGATGTTTTTGTAGTCAGTTGTTCTTGGTATTTAAGGTGCGATAGAATTAAATATTATACCTTATTATTATTATTCATGTTAAAAACACTTTATATACATATTTTTTTATTAATGATTATTAATTAGAAACATTACATATCTTTATCATTAACTTTATTCCCATGCCTATATTTAGTTCGTTCTACATTGCCTGTTATCATCTCTCCGTTACTTTTTAGCGCAATTTCCATACTGGAATTGCGATTATTAACTCGTCATTTCTGGATGTGTGGATGTGTGGATCTGTGAAAGCAGCTTCAAGTCGTATCTCCTCCTCAACGAAGCAATATCGAGGACTAGTTCCAAAGCAAATATGTTAAGCAAGTTCCGAGGATGATTGTGGGCCAAAAACAATCCCGGAATTCCTTCCTGGATTTCCCGGAAAAGCAAAAAAACCTCGAAAACATGCAGTTTTTTGCCCATATCTCGGCAACCAGACCACTTAGCGCCTTGAAACATTTACCAATCGATTCCTGCCATAATTTAGAACAATATTGCCGAGAAAGTTTTCAAAAATATCCTTTCGTTCGGTCACAAAATTTTTTAAAAAATTACATTATACATAATACACTACAGTACTATATAGCAATATAGAGAGCGCGACAACTAAATACCCCCTACACGTCCGCATATTTTTTTAAATCTCGTAAATAAATATGTTTTCTATTACCCCCTACACGTCCGCATATTTTTTAAATCTCGTTAATAAATATTTTTTCTATTTCGTTTTTAATTATTAAAACTACTTGTCTTGCATTATTTATTTGCTGAATATATGATTTATCTCGATTTAAAATTGTTATGGATAACATAAGGAAATTGTGCTTAAATTGTCACTAGACTTTTTATTAACTTGTTTTTTAATTGAGAGCTAAAATAAAAATTGAGTTTTAGTTTAATGAGGAAAAGAGTTGAATTTTTAATCATGCAGAGAGAATCATATTTTTCTTACTAATACAACTTATTCTGTTTTTTTCACAAGCGTCAAGGTGTCACAGGTCATCGATAACTATAACACTGGCATTTATGTACGTTATGTTGTTGGAAGACAATTTATAGTGACATTAGATTTACATGTTCATTTTTTATAACAAATTTGACTTATACGAACCTTAATTTTTCTCTAAAGCTAATTATTGCACACTTAATCACATATCAGAACGCAATACTAACAACGTTTATCAGCTCTACATGAAAATTATATTAAATTGTCAAATGTTTGATTTTGTTTTTATTAATCGGATAACGTCAAGCTCTTCATAATTATACTTGCATTTCACCAGTGTGCTAACTTCAACATATTGCAAAAAAGTATTATACAATAGAAAAAAAATAGTCCAGTTGTTTAAAGCTCATGGTCGTTCGCTCGAAAATTCACGAGTTCGAACCGCATGGCAGATGAGGTTTACAATCTGGGGACACCCATACCCCAAAGAGAGACAACTCCAAAAGCAAACTACGCATGTCTAGTAGTTTGTTCTTGTTATGACAAAAGCTATGAATGGACTTAATTGTGTTGGGGATATCTTCCAAAACTAGAATGAAGAAGAAGAAACAAGTATCCTTTATAGTTACAAACTTAATATTTACGAAGTAATTACTTGAATTTTCGTAATATTTTTTGTAATTATTTGTCAAATAAAGCCTATCGAGCGATTGTTTCAATTGTATCGTATTTAGATTAGACCGTGCAGAGTTCAAAGTGCATGCATATTCTATTTTTGTTTTTATACTATTATGCAGGCATATTTTTAATTATTCGAATGACTGAATAAAGATTAACCCTGTCTATAATGAATGTATAACTTCAATCGCCCAACACACATCAACTGCTTTTTTTATGGCGTACACGATACTTAAAGTTCTGCCGGTTTTTTCGACAAGAAATAAAGAAAATTTCCGGAATGAATAGTAAATTAAACTTTAACCTATATTTTAGACTGTGAGTCTAACGGTAATTTTAGAAATCTAATAATAGTAGGCCGAATAATATAAATGACTGAATGGTAGACACATTGTAAATAGCTGCCGGTGATATGACAAGGTCAGATGACTACTGAAGCGTGGGTCAGCAGTTAAAGATAAGTAGCGCTTGAGGAATGATGTGGAGAGTTAAAATGTAGAACATGTTAGAGTTGGTCATTGGAGTGTTTAGGGAGAAGTGTTAGTTGCATTAGAAAGAATTAGTAGAAGTCGAGTGTTAGTTGTAAATAGATTGATGTGTGAAAAAAGACCGTTATAGTTTTACCTTGAATTGGATTTTTAGTGTTTGTTTCTATCACTAAACTGAGCCAGACTACATTTTAAAGAAGACGATAACACGGTACGATGTCCGGACTGAATGTGTATTACCGTTTGCATTACGATATACAATAGAGATACATACATAACACCTCAAATTCCTTACCTCACACTACCTCATTTATTTCTCTTTAACTATAGCCCAAAGGTCTTGGTTCGGACTGGTGGGTATATGACTTAAGTTGTAGAAAGAACAGTGGGCTGGGCATGGTGCAGGTCACACTTTTCCTTCACAAGCCGAGGTAAACAATCATGCATTTTACTTTATCTGCCCTGTAGATCGTTAGGTCTAAAGAGGAACTTTACTTTTACTATATGACATATTCTTACGTTGTTATCATTTTACTTACTTATAACAGATAGTAGTGAGTTGGACTTAAAAGAGTCAATAGTCATACATGTAAAAAAAGTGTATCTATTCGGACCCGGTCCGAAAAGCCACGTTATAGCCTCGGCCCCTATTCAGACCAAACAACAAATTTGTTAAGATTTAGTTATACAATTATTCTTTATAAGGTGAAGAATATATATTTTCTGTTGTTGTTTTTTTTTTCTTGTAATTCTAAATGATATCTTGAGATCTTGCTTTAAATATCCGATATAATTCCTGACAAATGTCACAGCGAGCAGGTCATACTTTTACTTCACAAGCTGAGGTATATTTTTTTAATTTAATATATTATTATGATTATAATATAGTATTATCACATTGAAGTTTCTCTAATTAGCTTTCACGTAAATCACTTAAGGAGCTTAAATAACAATTTCTAGCTATCTAGCTTGTTGATCTAAGGTTTTAGTTGGGTAGATCTTTTAAAGCTAACCATTATGCAGGAGTTTATTTTTAAATTGTACATTAAGTGTGATTGTTAATTCCAATTAACCTATGATAATTTTTAAAATATGCTTACAATTTAAAGGCCTATTAAACTATGACATATATAAGTTTGCTGAATGTTATGTGAAATTAAAAAAAAATATTTTTTTAACTCAAAATATCAAAGATCAACCTGATGATCAATGTGTAGGTACAGATGTGAATAAATATTCTCCTTCAAAGAAATCTATTGCCATGTTTTTAAGATCAGTTTGGATAATTTGTAATAGTACAATTATTACGTTGTAATTGATCAACAGGAAACAACCTTGATAATTTTGATGAACGCAACAGCATGGACAGTGAATTGGACAAATCACAATATTTTACAGATTATTTCTGTTTATCTGCCTAATATGTAGAAAAATATGTTACAAATAAAACAAAAATGGCATCAATGGAACTGGTCAATGGTTTGGTGAGGAAGAAGTCCCTGTGTTAAAACATTATTTAGTTTGTATTTTTTATGGCACAATAGTGATGGTTGGGTTTGATATGACAGATGAAGGAAAAGTATGTGGTTTTATCTTTGTCAAAATGTAGCAGCAATAGAAACTATTCCAGTAATAATATATTTGCTTTATTTACCTGTGCAGGTACACATGAAGTACAAGAGAATGTCTTGAAGGTTAAGGTGAGATAGATCTACACATACATAGTATAAACTGCAAAAAAAATCCAGGCCATAAAATGTTTGTACCTGCGAATAAGTTTAGTGTTGATTGCTTGCCATCTGGTTTCCATGACAACAACTTGTATCACGTCACAAAAGCTCTGGCTGACCTAACTGTCAGGATAGCCGTTAAGTTCATCAGTCCAGACAGACCAGAGTTTTTACCAGGCACTAAAGATCCATATCCTTGCTACAAAAGCAGGGGACTCAACACCCTCAGGACAGGCACTGGGAGGGTGTGGGAAGGGACCAAGTACACAGAGGGAACAGACGAGTGGCCAAGTTGTCGATGTGGGTAGGGTGCATGTGGTATTCATTACGGAGTGGTGTCTACAAGTTACATATCCCAGTCTGTTGGAGTAGTGTCTAGGAGTTGTGATATTAGTTGAATAAATATTTGTCTGTAGGATTGTCATACATCCTTTGTCTCTTTAATGGAATAGAATGGGTAGTGTTACGGTCTGTGTATCTAGCGGTTGGCATTGATGTTAGGGAGGGGAGAAGGGGAAAGGGGTTGCGGGCGAAGGGAAGGGGAAGGGTGAATAGTGATAAAAATAACTCACCCAGCCCCTTAATCAATAAAAATGATTGATTTGTACTTTAGAGTGATTAGACTGAATGATATGTATGCTAACGTCATATCATATTTAGATTTTACGTCATTATTTTGGTGAACTTTAAATGTAGACATTTTAAACGGTGTGTCATTTGACACGACGTACTATAACGTTGTTGTTTTTTAAAACTTGCATTTTATAATCTTAAGCAAATTTTTACTAAGGTGATCAAAAATTAAGATGACAATGTAAGATATAGAAAAACAAAATACATTGAGTGGTAAAAAAAAAATTGTCATTAGACGTAATGTATTATGTATAAGTAAACTTTCTTAAAAATTAAAGAAGTTCAAGTCAAAAAGAAGTTTGATGAAAACTGTAATACTAAAGCGAACATGGGAAGGTAATCTGCTGCAAGACTAAGATATATATTCGTCTTCCTTCTAGGTTCATTGCCTTTTTTGGTTGAGGTTAAACATCGCCATGTTTTCAAATATCGCGATGTACGTCACGTTCTCTCCCCTCTTACCTAGTAATCGCTTCCTCTACCTATTGTTTACAACACGCTTACAAAGAAAAAATATCCCACCCCTCTACTTGAGACATAAAATACAAAAGTGTATTGTACCTTGTCGTCACAGGAAACAAAAACGGTGGCGTCTAATGTTGTTAACCCTTGTCTTCCTAAATTATTTTTTAACTTGTTAAAGAAATTGATTGATTAGTTAAGGATTCTGACGCGAATTTTTTCACAAGGGACGATACTCGTGTCTGTAGACAAGGCTGTTCTAATTTTAGAACAGTTGTCTTTCCTCTCGTTTCTCTATTAGGGAAGACCTATGGGGAAGACACGCGACACTTCTTTTAAAATGTAAACAAAAACCCCGCTGCGAAAATGACAATGGCATGGTGACACCTTTTGGAAAACACGCTTTCATGTAAATAAAATAAGGGTCGCTTTTGTTGTCGCCATGATAATGTATACCTATAAGTTCTCTCCGCCTTTACCGAGCTAGTATGAATTTCGCGCGCGAAAGTGTATCATGTCAACACCTGGGCAACAAGTCATAGTCAAAAAGGCCTAATTCATTACAGATCTATAGGAAATCCCTCTTTACACGTACTTACGTTAGGGGGAGTAAACTCATTTGAATAAAAAAACGTATTAAAATATATAGAGTTATAGAACCTTAAAGTTAACAGATGATGAAAAAAAAAAAAAAAAAAAAAAAATTCAAAATAAAATTAAAATCCACCTCCCCACCCACCTCACTTAGGTTATGGAATCTTTTACTATATATCCTTTACTCCTACTCCTGTCCCCCTTCACCGATCTGCTCACCCCTTCACCTACGTGCTCACCCTTCAATCACCTGTTCACACCGTCACCCGCCTGCTTACACCCCTCATCCATGTTACTATAAGCGACTATGTATTGAACATTTGTTAAATTTATCTGGCTCAGGGTGGTCAAATGATGGTCAGATCAAAAGAAAATCGGAACGGTTATAAAAAAACTTAATTACTTTTCCAGATTTGTAAAAACATGTCTACCCCGCATACCTCACGTACCAACGCACCAAGTCGCCCTGTCGCCCATTAAAAAAAAAAAAACACGAACCTACCGAGACTTCGTTTCGTCTCAAAGCCTGATTTAACGGTGGTTGAAAGAAAATTCCAACCCTTAAATATATTTTGTATTCGCTGACCCTCGCTATAGGCGAATAGTTACAACAAGGTCGTGAAAGGCTCAGCCTAATTACAGCACCAGCTGTTGCCAGCGAACCCACATAAATCGCCGATGCGTGACCAAATTTAATTAGGTGGACCATCATACTGATGGTCAGTGGGTGCGATCAATACATTCCCATTAAAAACGGTCGGGAGGTGCCTCTAATTACAGCACCAGCTGTTACCTGCTGGCTTCGCAGAGCTGACATATCGATCGGGGAAAAATCAATTAAAGTGGTAACATCTGTTCGCACACTTAACGGTGGCTTTGCGGTAGCGCATTCGATTAAACGCGGGACCCCTACGGTGTTCGCTTCCGTGAACCCGACATAAATCGGTGATGCATAACAAGATTTAATTAGGTGTGATGGCCCAGCGGCTGCGATCAATATAATACCCATAAATCACTACGCAGCGCGTGTCAACAAGGGAAAGTTTCGTGGATCGATAAGTAACACATGTTGCACTGCTGGTTAATGGATGTTATACAAAGACTGTTCTAGTACATGCTAGTGTTAGTCTTTTATTTAAAACATACATACATTCAAATAAACAAACCAACAAATTAAACAACAAAGAAAAGAAATATATCAAATAAATAAATTTAACAAAGTAATCAAAATCAAATTAAACAATTTAAATCAAACAAATAAGCAAATTACGTAACTCGTTAATAAAAATTAAACTAATTATAAAATAAAATTTAAAAATTTAAAAATTTAAAAAATTAAAATCAAATTACGTAACTCGTTAATAAAAATTACAAAACAAAGTAATTAAATTAAACAACAAGTAAACAAACAAATTAAACAATTAAAAAAGTAAACAAATAATCAAATTACGTAACTCGTTAATAAAAATTAATTAAAATTTTAAAAATTCATTAAAACTAATTAAAAAACTCATTAAAATTACGTAACTAGGTCAATGATTACGTCACAAGGTCACTAATTACGTCACAAGGTCGATGGTTACGTCACAAGGTCACCAAAAGGTGACCCATCCTTCACTCCTCCGCCAACGCCAGTTGGCGTAGTATTTTACTATATGTCGTTGTCCCTTCACCCTTCGCTCCTCACCATCCCGATGCGCCAGGCTGGGAGTATTTTACTATATGTCATTGTCCCGCCTCACCATCCTGCTCCCGAGTATTTTACTATATGTCATTGCTCCTCACCCTGCGCTCCTCCGCCAAGAATACGACCCAAAAGGGACCTAATATACTACTATCATATGTATTGGTGTATCTAAAAATATAATTAAAAAAAAACCCAACAATTGTCATCTCACAGTCGTGGCGGACGTAGCCACTAATGTACAACAAGCAAGTTTTAATGTGTGCATTACATTCTTCCTTTCAATAATCACAAGCACAAACCATATTTTAAAAATAATCTATTTCATAACAATTATAAATCCCTTAAAATGATTTAATTAATAATATTTTTAACAATCTAATTTAATGAAGCTAATTTAGATCACTGTAGGCCTTATATTTTTAAAATAGATTTCCGAAAAATTATAAAAATAAATAGAGACATTTTAAAATGATTTAGATGCTCTCAACTTAAAAATGAAACCCATTCACTAGCCTTCAACACGTTGCTCGTGTTATTTCGTTCTTGTATCGGGCTGACCTGGTATCGAAATTTCAAAGTACGTAGATAATACATAAATAGCACAAAATTATACACAATTATTGTGATGCGTTAAACGCTGCTAAAGTAATTAAACAGGTGCTCATTTTAAAAATGCATAAAATAACTGCCTGTGGCTAGTATGAAAAATATTTAAAGTATATCATTTGCAAAAATCAATGTAACAGCAATTCAAACATAAAATTGCGATCTCTCCTATGTAGAGTATTTCATAGTCATAAAAAAAAGAGTTGTCAGATAAAATTTGTGATGAGCATTTTGTTCTAAACATAATAAATATTATTAGTTTTTTCTTTCATTTTTTTTTTTACTTTCAGATACAATACTATTAATTTTATTAATAATTTATAAAATTAATCTTAAATTAAATGTAATACAGGCGCTTAATTAAAGTGGTACGTATAAGTACCGTCGGTTGATAACGGGTTTTAATGTAATGGTTGATAGTTGTATTTAATATAAAATGGTTGGTAATGTTTGTATTTCAGAGTTCTTTTTTTGTTGTATGTTGGTGCTTGTGTTTTAGTATAATGATTGTTGATTATCTAACAATGATTAATTGGCTGTGTTTAAACGAGATGATACACAGTTTTCAAGCACGTGATTAGCTTTATCTACATCATCTACATCATCTACATCATCTACATCATCTACATCATCTACATCATCTACATCATCTACATCATCTACATTATCTACATTACTTACATCATCTACATCTAATATTGCTCGTGCTTAACACAAGTGGGGCAGATGAAGAATTCATCTGTTAAGATTCTTCTGAACAATACTTCCGCATATTGCTGAATAAAAACATTTTAAGTAATTAACGATATCGTTGTTCTCCATAACACTCAGACCAACTCATGAAATACAACAGGTGAACAATTAACCCGCATGGATGCAATGTATTATAACCGTATTTCAAAAATTCGAATGAATTGTCTAACTGAAATTGAAGTCGACTTGATCAATATAATTTTATGTCGGCTAAATGTTGTAGTAATGTATCATT